TCGTTCGGCACGCTGCATTGAGCAGCCGCGTTCAGTTTTTAATTGTAGTGTCTGTTCTTTTACTGAACTAAATTAGTTTTATTACTATAAAAAAATAAAAATGACGATATATATATATATATATATATATACACACGTGTATATGTATATATACGTGTATGTGTGTGTGTGTGTGTTTTGAATTGAGCAATTAGCAATGTAGTAATTTTTTACATTTATATTTTATACAATTTTATTTATTTTATTTTATACAGCTGTTAGACAGTTTACACAGTAAAACCTTTTTGAAAATGCATATTAAATGTTTAATTATAATTAAATATTTGTTTTAATTGTTACCAGTATAAAATTTTAATTTATATATATTTTAAATGTATATGTTATTAAATGTATTCATGTATAATTTGTTTGTTTGTTTATTTATTTATTAGCTGTCGGACAGTAAAATGGACAGATTAGCTGTTTGCACAGTAAAACCTTCTTGAAAATGTCAGGTATTTTCTATTTCTGCCCTATAACGCATCACCATACACTACACCTCAGTGATACATATTTAGTTTTCTTTGACCATTGTATTATGTCTCATGCTGATTTTGAGCGTCTCGTCCCAAGTGATACGTTTTTAATATGCCGTTTCAAGTTAAAAAATAGTCCAGGTTTTACAACTCCTTCAATCTGCTCCTTTGTTGAGCTGCATTTGTGTTTTTGAATTTGTTTGCTCTGTTTGTGAAGAATACATCTCATGTAAAAGCCCATTAAGAATCAAATCTGATATTCTTAGAGTCGATAAGTCAACTAGTGATTCGGGCAGCCCAGCGACTAGTCGATGTGGTGGATGTTTTTCTTAATATGCTTTTTTGATCATTTGAAGTGGAGATTTAAGAACTATACGTTTAATAAGTCTGAGAAACAAGGCTGTCTGGAATGAGAGACTGTAGTTATTTGTGCACATACAGCAATGCATAAGGGGGTGGTGCGTAGCGGCTGGGCAGTGATTGACTCTTCGTGGTTTCTCCCTGCGGAGACAGACTGTTACATAATGAAACATGCTGCTCCAGGCTGAATGCCGGCCTTATTTCCGACAACACAGCTGCCTACACACTCCTCCTCGCATCTGCTTAGCATATACACCTCAAGCCTCTGGCTCTGGAGTTGCATGTATAAATGCACACGTTCACTCATGTTAGGGCATGTTTTCAAAGTCGACTAGTTGGTGGGTTACCTGAATGACAAGTCAACTAATCGGTCATAAGGATCGGTTTTACATAAGATGTGTTAGAAAAATGCTTTGTGGTGGGTGACAGAATGCAGAGGACTTTGCATGAACAGTGTGAGACTCTCTTTGGAAGACAGTTGGATTTTGTTTTGCTCTATGTGATGTGGTGGGGCTGTGTAAAATGGTTTTGAGTTCTTGCTGTTCTGCTTAAGTGCTTGATTGTTTCAGTCTGGTTAGGTAATGTAGCTGAGAGGTCCTTCAAATCACTTGGCCAATAGAGGGTAAGCCAAACTCATTATAGTGGAATAAGCAGTCAATGCCACATCCTTTGAGAAACAGTTAAACATCTTTTGAGAGTACTGGGATCATTCTGTGGGAAGAACTGGAGTGTGTCCAGATTTAGCTTTATTTGATGTGTTATAGGGCAGGTATCGGCAGCTACCTCATGCAGCGATTAATACCTCAATACATTTTCACGGGACCGGTTTTTAGATTTTAGCAGAGCGCAAGATTATAACACTTTTTCTTCTTTAAAAGTTAATAATTGCCTGTATTTCATGTTGTCTTTTTCATTGTTGTGATGCCATTTTTTA